CCAATGAGCACTCTGGCTGTACTTCTAAGACAGATTTGTTTGTTCTTCTGGCAGTCCATGGTATATTGAATATTCTTTGCCAATACCGTAATTCAAAGGCATCAACTCTTCTTTGGTCTTTCTTATTCATTGCCCAGCTTTCACATGCATATGAGGCAATTGAAAACATCATGGCTTGGATCAGGCACACCTTAGTCTTCAAGGTGACATCTTTGCTTCTTAACACTTTAAAGAGGTCTTTTGCAGCAGATTTGCCCAATGCAATGCATAGTTTGATTTCTTGACTTCTGCTTCCATGGGCATTGATTGTAGATCCAAGTAAACTGAAATTCTTGACAACTTCAATCTTTTCTGTTGATCATGATGTTGTTTACTGGTCTAGATGTGAGGATTTTTGTTTTATGTTGAAGTAAAATCCATACTGAAGGCTGTGGTCTTTGATCTTCATCAGCAAGTGCTTCAAGTTGTCTTCACTTGCGGCAAGCATGTTTGTGTCATCTGCACATTTAGGTTTTCCATTTCTTCATGGTTCAGTTTTGTATATTGTTTGTCTCTAGATATTGGACTATTTCAACTACATTTTCAAATTTATTATCATATAATTGTTCATAATCGGTGCTTATTATCTTTTTAATGCATGCAGGAACTGTTATGATGTGCTTTTTTACTTCTGATATTGGTTACTCTTTCTCTGTCTTTTTTCATCAGCACCACCGGAAACAAATTTTATCAATTCTTTCAATGAACCAAATTTTAGCGTTGTTTATCCCCTATGGTATTTTCTGTTTATTTCTTTAATTTCTGCTCATTATTAATTCCTTGTTTTTACTATCTTTGAGTGTAGTTTGCTCTTATTTTTCTAACTTCTCAAGAGGATGCAAAGCTCATTAACTTTCAGACTTTCTTCTTTTTCTAGCATGTACTCAGAGCCTGCACTGTTCTGTTCCAACTTGAGAATTCAAAATTGTCTTGGGTCCATGGGAGGGCTGGGTCTTCTTCTTTTTCATCCCCATTCCTAGGATACAGCCTTTTGGCCTCCCCACCCTGACAGGGTGTGGGTTTTCAGGGTTACTATTAAGGTAGGCTCTAGAGCCTGATAGTGACCTTTGCTCTGTGAGGCCCCGGATGAGCACAGGAGCATGAATGCTGGACCACCTCACTAGGCACTAGTTGCCTTCTGTCCCTCAGCCTGGAAGCTCCTCACTGGCTTTTCCCTTTGCTGCTTTTAAGGTGGACCCAGTATAATTACAAGGGCCTTTATATGTATGGTGGAGAGGGAGGCAGGAGGGTCAGAGTAAGGAAGGAGATGTGACGATAGAAGAAGAGGTCAGAGAGGGTGAGAGAGATTTTAAGATGTTATCCTGCTGGTTTTAAAGACAGAGGAAGGGACTACAAGCCTAGGAATGTGGGTGGCCTCTAGAAGCTGGTAAGGCAAGAGGAAAGAATGTCCTGATCCTGTTTGCCTGCCTCTTATGGCTTTGTGGGACTCAAAGAAAGAGGGGCTCATGAAAGACCCCAGTGAGCAGCCCTGTGCTGAGAGGTCCCCCCTCCATGCTGTGGGCATGGGATGGAGCTGATGCTCAGACAGCAGGGGTGTAGGGTTAGGCTGGACAGTCTCTTCCTTCTGTTCTTCTTCAGAGCCTTCATCTTCACAGTGTGCTAAACAAAGGAGTTGTTATTTGGAAACACATGTTTTCCAAAGTCTGTGAAAACCAGAGGAAGCATCAGAAGAGGTACAAAGTGTAGATTGTGTTGGAAGACTAGGAACGAGCTGATTGGATACCTCTGGCTGTCAAACTTTATTCCTCCATTTTCCCAGCAGCTTCTCACAGAACATGCCTCCTGCGCTATGCTTCTCTGCAAACCTCGCTCTCCTCTAAGCAGCCCCTCCCGCCTCCTCCCCAATCTCCTCCAACTCATGACAGAGGGACTGAGCAGGAGTGGGCTGGCCCCTCCTTTCCTCAAGCTAGTCCTGCCTCATGGTCCACTGCCCAGGACAGAAAGATGGTCAAAGCAGCTGTGGTCCCATTGCACGGTGCTCAGTCCAGGTGGGAGGGGACACAGCAGACTGACAGACACATACCCTGACAGTACTCAGGAGCTGGGACCTACTCAGCGGTGGCCCAGGGGATGTGCCCTGGAATGAGGGAGGGGTCTGGACAGCAGAGGTCCTCCTGGTGTCCTCAGCACCAGGTGGGCTTGGGGCCAGAAGGCATTACCTTGTGCTCAGCTAGTGATGGAGGCATAATGTGATGGGGCCAAGCTGGGGAGGGTCATCACAGGTCCTGATACGGGCTTTGGAATTTACCCTATGAACAGTAGGAGGCCTGTGGGGAGTTCTAATGGCAGGAATAAGTGCATCAGGTCTGTGTTTTAGCTCACTCACCTGGTGATTGTATGGGGAGTGGGCTGAGGGAGGGGCAGGGATCAGAATCTCAGTGGAGAACAGGGTGGAGCCTGTGGTGGCCAAGGTGGGGCCTGATCAGGGTGGTGCCCAGGGGACAGAGGGGACAGAGGTGCAGTCCAGTGGGGATAAGGAAGAGCTGACCCTTGAATTCATATGAAATTGCAAGGGGCCCACAATAGCCAAAACAATCTTGAAAAAAAAAAAAAAAAAAAAAAGAACAAAGTAGGAAGACTCACACTGTCTGATTTCAAAACATCTTAAAAAGCTACAGTAATCAACACAGTGTGGTACTGGTATAAGGATCTATATACAGATCAATGAGGTAGAATTGAGAATCCAGAAATAAACCGATACAGCTATGGCCAATTGATTTCAATAAGAGTGCCAAGCCCATTCAATAGGGAAAGAATAGTCTCTTCAACAAATGGTGCTGGGACAACTGGCTCTCCACATGCAAAAGAATGAAGTTGGACCCCTACCTCACACCATATGTAAAAATTAATTAAAAATGAATCAATGACCTAAATATAAAAGTTAAAACCATAAATATCTTAGAAGAAAACGTGAGTAAATCTTCAAAACTTTCTTTTAGGCAATGGATTCTTAGATATGACACCAAAAGCACAAACAACAAGAGAAAAAATAGATAAATATGACTTCATCAAAATTAAAACCTTTTTGCATCAAGGGACATTATCAAGAAAGTGAAAAGATGACCTACATAATGGGAGAAAGTATTTGGAAACCATAAATCAGATAAGGGTTTAATATCCAGAATATTTAAATAACTCTTAAAACTCAACAGCAAAAAGACTAACAACCCAATTAAAAGATGGGCCAAGGCTTGAATAAACATTTCTCCAAAGGAGATATACAAATGGTCAATGAGTGCATGAAAAGAAACTTTATTATTAGCCATTACCCAAAACCAAACCCAACGCCGTTGAGTTGTTTCCAACTCATAGCGACCCTATAGGACAGAGTAGAACTACCCCACAGGGTTTCCAAGGAGTGGCTGGTAGATTTGAACTGCTGACCTTTTGGTTAGCAGGCGAGCTGTTAACCACTGCTCCACCAGAAGCTCCTTTATTAGCCATTAGGGAAATGTAAATCAAAACCACAATGAGATATCACTTCACATCCACTAGGATGGCTATTATTAAAAAAACCAAACAAATGAAAAATAACAAATGTTGGCAAGAATCTAGAGAAATTAGATTGCTAGTGAAAATGTAAAATCATGCGGCCACTGTGGAAAACAGTTTGGTGGTTTCTTAAAAAGTGAAACCTAGAATTATCATATGACCTAACAATTCCACTCCGAGGTATATACCCAGAAGAATTGAAATCAGTGACTCAAGCAGACATATGTACATCAATATTCATTGCAGCATTTTTCACAATAGCCAAAAGGTGAAAACAACCCAAGTGTTCATCAACAGATGAATGGATACACAAAATATGGGATATGCATACAATTATTCAAGTGTAAAGAGAAATGAAGTTCTGATACATGGCACCATATAAATGATCTTTTAAAACATTATACTGAGTGAAATAAGTCACACACAAAAGAATAAACAGTGTATGGTTCCACTTATGTGAAGTATCTAGCACAGGCAAATCTATTGAGACAAAGGAAGATGGGTGGAAGAGGGATTAGAAAAACAACAAAACAAAATAAACCTTTCCAACCTCACATCCTCTTCCTTCCCTTCACAGTCCTACTTCCCGAATGAGCTCTTGAACTCACTCTGTTGATTTCCTCAGTTCCCTCTCTTTCTTCAATTTACTCCAATCTGCTTTTGCTCCAAGGAAACTTCTTTCCCCAAGCTAACATCTCACCCACCTGTTGGCAAACTCAGAGGAAACTTTTCGATCCTCCTTTCGCCTGACTGCAGCAGTAGCAGCAGCAGCAGCAGCACTGTGAATGCCCGGCTGGTAGCTCTCTGCCCTGGTGTCTATGGCATCACATTGCCGGGATTTCCTTCTCTGTGCCCTTTGCACACCTTTTCTGAGAGAGGTCTCTCCGAGCCTTGACAAGGCCCTCTTCTCATCTCTCTCCTTGCTCTCTCCAGCCAGTCTCACTTAGGTTCCTGAATCTGGTTACCCTCTCTATGCTAATGCTGCTGAGATTTTTATTTCGAGCCCAGTTTTCTGCCTGGAGCACCAGATCCAAGTATTGAAGTACCTACTGGGCATTTCCAAATTGAATTCAGCATCTTCCTCGTCAAACCTGCCCTCCTCCTGGCTCCCCATATGGATGGATAGTGCCCCCATCTTCACGGGACATGGTGCTTATCCTCAGTTCTTCCCTTCCCCTCACACCCAAGCCCAATAAATCAAAGATCTTATGGTTCTAACTTCTGAATATCTCTTTGACTTATTAGATTACTTCATCTTTGTTTTCCTGAACAAGTCAGGCTGTAAAATCTCTTGCCTGGGCCTCTGTGCTGTCTCAGACACAGGGCAGGGCGGTGGAGGCATGCTAACTCTTCCCTTCAGCCTTCACTTCCCCCTCTCCAGACCACCCAGTTAGAGCTGGCATGAGAAACAAGCCAGGGAATGCAGGGGGCCAAAGTGGGCTTGACCCCTAGGTGGAGGCCCCCAGGGCCTGGGCCACCTTCTGTGCCACCCTGCGCAGTGCCGTCTTCACCTCCTGGTTATGCAGGCAGTAGATGATGGGGTTGACGAGAGGCGTGAGCACCGTGTAAACCACGGACACCAGCTTGTTGTAGTCAAAGGAGTAGACGGCACGCGGCCGGGCGTACGTGAAGAGAGAGGCTGAGTAGAAGATGACCACCACGGCCAGGTGAGAGGCGCAGGTGGAGAAGGCCTTGTGGCGGCCAGTGGAGGATGGGATGCGCAGCACGGCACTGAGGATTTTGACATAGGAGGACACGGTGAGCAGCAGCGGCCCCAGCAGAATGAGCAGGGCCAGCACGAAGTCCACGAGCTCCGCAACAGACATGTCTGAGCAGGCTAGGTTGAGCAGGGGGGACACGTCACAGAAGAAGTGGTTCATGATGTTGGGGCCACAGTAGCCAAGGCGGGAGATGAAGAAGACCTTCCCCAGCGAGATGCTGAAGCCCGAGAGCCAGGAGCCGGTGGCCAGCAGGCTGCAGAGCCCGGGATGCATGATAGTGGGGTAGCGTAGGGGGCTGCAGATGGCCACGTATCGGTCATAGGCCATGACGCTCAGCAGCACGCACTCAGTGCAGGCCAGCGCCAGGAAGAAGTACAGCTGGGCCATGCAGCCAGCGAAGGAGATGCGGCGGAACTTGGGGGCCACCAGGCTGAGCAGCATCTTGGGCACAGTGACTGAGATGTACCAGGTCTCCAGGAAGGACAGGTGGCTGAGGAACAGGTACATGGGCTTGTGCAGGAGGGGGCTGGTGCAGATCACGGCCATGACGACCACGTTTTCCGTGACAGTCAGCATGTATGCCAGCAGGAACAGCACCAGTAGGCTTAGATGGAGTCCCTGGGAGCCCGAGAAGCCTAGCAAGATGAACTCGATCACCTCTGAACCATTGTCCCTCGCAGACATAGCCTCACCTGGAAGGCAGAGGTGGTGGGTCAGGGTGGGTAGAAAGGCAAGGGGCAGGGGCCCTCTGCTGTGGCCCAGCCCAGGTGTGAAGAAGTGAGGCCGAATGAGCTCTGCCCTCAGACCCACAGTCAGCCTGGTGCAGAGACATTGAACAAACGCTACTGTGGGTGGAGAAGAGTGTCCCAGGGACCTGCTGCAGGAACTTGCAACAGCGCTGAGGATGACAGCAGAGCCCCTCGGCACCATTGGATCCATGCTCAGTGTTTCACAGGCAATTAGAGGGTGGGGAAGGCCACAGCTGAGCACCCAGGGTCCAGGGACAGTGGACTAGTGGGGCCAGGGTGAGGTGAGGTACCGGGGTGAGACCATGGACAAGGCCCTGGCTTGGAGTCTGGCTAATAGGGCCCCTTTGGTTCTGCCACTGTCTTCATGGGTGTCTGGGTGGGGGTGGCGGTGATTACCCTATCATGCTGGGACTTGGTTTCCTCACCTATACCTGAGGGGAAGGTGGCAACCCTGCAGAATTCATCCCAGGACTGAATCTGGGCTGACTGTGGGTCCTAAGGAGAATTCAGGCTCCCGGGGAGCTGCAGGGATCCTGTCTCCAGAGCTGCGGGGAGCTGCATGCCCCCAACGCCCTCAGAGCCAGGCCCTCCAGCCACAGGCTGATGTCTAGCTCCTGCCTGTCTGTCTGACCACCGCAGGGTGGCCAAGCTGAGCTCAGACCCTTGGCTCCTGCCTGGGGAGGGCAGGGTTGGGGAGGGCAGGCAAGGCTGGCGGGAGGTCTCTTCATCTCCTACATGGCCAGGCGGTTGTTTTTATGAGATAGAACGGGCCAGGTTGTTAAGACCTGAGACGCAGAAGAGAAACCAGCCCCCTCTTCGCCATCTCGGCCTCCTGCCGGGGCTTTGCTGGCTCTGGTGCTCCTGAGCCTGGGACGGGCCTCCTAGGCCCTTGGAACATGGCTAGAGCCCTTGGCCCGTGGGCCACATGGCTCGGTTCCCACGCTGTTTTCGAGTAAACGTGTTCACTGTGCCGGGGCGGGGGCTAGCTGCTGACCTCCGTCTGTGCTGCAGTGTCTGGAGGGCAGGGCTCTTTGGTCCACACGATGTGAAAACACCATGCAGTGGTAACCCAGGGGTGACCGGGCACACTGCAGGGAGTGCAAGCATGCGTGAGGGGGCCTCCCCTGGAGGGCATCCCGGCCTGAACTCAGCACTCGGCCCCCCAGCTCTCGGGCTGCTGGCAGCCCCGTGTGGCCTCCAGACCTTTTTACACACCCCACTCTTTCCCCACCCTCGGCTCACCGTTCACGTCACAGCCTCACAGCCTCCTCTGGTTCCCCCTAGGCCCCACGGCAGCCCCCCACAGCTCTGCTCTCCCTCCAGCTGCTGCTCAGTGCCCGGCCTGCTGTCATCAACACGGTTTATGTTCCACAAAGATTACGGGGCCGGGGGGGGGGAATGGATGTGGGGCAGAACCTAGACCGATGCATGGGCTCTGGGGCATGAGTTTGAGTCCACCCTGCCCTGGTGCTGTGTGACCTTGGACAGGCCCCCTCTGTGTCTCTAGCCCCTTAGCTGAGACACAGTCATGGTGGGACCCTAGCCCCTTAGCTGTGACATAGTCATGGTGGGACCCTAGCCCCTTAGCTGAGACACAGTCATGGTGGGACCCTAGCCCCTTAGCTGTGACACAGTCATGGTGGGACCCTAACCCCTTAGCTGTGACACAGTCATGGTAGGACCCACTCACTGGCTACAAGGTCAGCCAGGATGCAGTCTCCACCTGGAGGCTCGCAGGGGGTGGGGGCTGACAGGAGAGAGGGAGCGGGCACGAGCTGCATACCTGCTACAGTGCTGGCCTGGCCGAAGGGGCCAAGGATGGGGGGTGGGGTCTGGCCCGCACGGCCCATTCTGGGGTGTCAGGTGGCCCACTGACGTTGGCGGCCTGCAGCAGGAGGAGTTGGGTCAGGAGTCATAGGGGACAGCCACCCCGCGGCTACAGCCTGTGCAGACCGGCCCCCATGTCACAGTTTCGGGGCTGGTGAATGACTCCCAGGTCCCTAGCCCCTCTGCCACGGCTCCTGGGCAGCACGACAGCCTGGCTCCACTTGGCTCTGCACCCCCGGCCATGGGACAGGCAGGAGTGGCCCACAGACAACACAGTCCAGGCCCTCCTGATACGCATGTCCCCCAAGGCACGCACAGTCACACTCAACACGCACATGCCCCTCAAACCTCAATTCTTCCACAGGGCACCCAGCACCCGGCACTGAAAGCACACCCACCCCCAAACATGAACACTTGAAACAAGCCCAGACTCCGTGCTCCTGATTGCAGACCCTGCAGGGACACACAGACGCACACGTGCTCCCAGCAAACTCTGGTCTAGGCACACACAGAGGCTAGGTATAGACAGCACCTACGTGCAGATGCATAGATGTGCCTGCCGACAGCCCTGGCTGTTGCACAGACCCCCGCGCCTGCCCACGCAGCAGATCCCAAGCCCACCGAGCCTCCCAAGCCAAGAGTGCTCCTGTGGAAACATGAACAAACGCGGCTCCAAAACATGGACAAACCCCAAGCCCAGACCCACACATGCCTCTCTCCATAGGCACCAACTGACAACAGCAACATGTCTACCAACAGACTCCCAGACTGCCTTGCTGCCCAACGTAGCTACACAGACAGGTGCACACACAATTGCTCACACAGGTGCACACACAGGCACACACAGGCTCACACAGGTGCACACAGGCACAAACAGGCACACACACAGGCACACACAGGTGCATTGAGGCACACACAGGTGCACACAGGTGCACACAGGTTCA